CGCAGACACCAGGTCGTTCACACCGAAGGGGGTGCGCGAGGAAACGACGCGACTCTCTCGGCTAGCCAGCGTGCACGGAGCCCTCCCCCAGCCACCCCGGCCTCCCCAGCCAGGGTCCACGCTCTTCTCCTCGGAGGAAAGCGCGGATCTTGCGTCCTTGGTGAAACCCTTGGGCCTGGCAGGGGCAGGCCTCAAGTGTGGCTCACACTCTCACCAAGGCTGTCAAATGGCTTAAAGTCAACGCAGACTTCGGAGGAGCCCGCCCTGGGGGAGGCGCACAGGTGATTCCATTTGACGGGACCTGTACGGTCGGATCCCCCGTGAGCCCACACCTGACAGGGTGCCGGGAAACGCACGTGTAGCACCTGGGGCTGCTTTGGAGACACGGGGCCTCGGGATCCCTGCACTGCTGCCGTCCAGGCCCCGGCAGTCCAGCCCCGGCGGCCCAGCCCCAGCAGCCACGGTCGGCAGCAGGATGGGGCTGGGACACAGGTGGAGGCAGCCGCCCCAGACCTGCAGGGTGCTGGGGCGCAGAGCTGCTCGCTGAGGCCTCCCTCCCCGCTGTGCCAGACTGCAGGCGCCCCCACACCCCAGCCTGCAGAGCTGAGGGCTGGCCAGGGGCCCCCAAAGAGAGGCAGGGAGGTGGGGGACAGCTACCAGAGGGGTAGCAGGTGACAGCAGGGGAGGGCTGTGTGGGGACGTGCTCGGACACTCCCCAGGAGCAAAAGCCTGAGCAACAGGGGGGCCTGGCCGGGGCCCAGACTGCACAGTGACCAGTGGCAGCGCTCGGGTGCTGTCCCAGGCCCTGGGCACAGCCAGGGGCGAACAGCTCCGCCTCCCTGAGACCACAGGGGCGTCGGGGCAGGGTGGGAACGACAACCCAGAGGCCGGGCTCTGACTCCTTGCAAACGGACCGGCACTCCCCACCTCCAGTGGGACGGCACCGCGAACCCCCGGATTCCCCTCGGCCGGCAGAGGCTGCGCGTGGCCCCCGCGGGGTGTTGGGTCAGTTCGGCCCCAACATGGGGCGTGACGCGAGCACCCCGGTGGTGGGCGTGGTCCGGAGGTCCTCCAGCGGGGGACAGGCGGCCCCGCCCCTGCGCGGAGACGGCCGCCGTCCTGTCCTCCCTGTGACGCGTTTTCACGGCCGGGACAGGGGACAGGCGTGCCGGTGACGAGCAGCGGCAGGTCCCCATCGAAGCATCCGACCCCGCGGGCGCCGCAGGGGTCTGCTCTCCGCCCGTCTCCGCCCGTTCTTATTCCGCAGTGAAACTTAGGAGCGAAGGGACCCACTGTTTCCAAAATAAACTGAGACGGAGCGTCCTGGGACTCACAGCCACGGGCCGAGCAGGGTGGGGATTTGCATGTTCCGCGCCGGCGGCTTCCGCGGAGGCGCGGCCGGGCCGCACGCCCGAGAGCTCCTCGGGACGCTGGGACGGGCCTCGGACCCGGGGCGGCGGGGGGCGCGGGCCTCGGAACGCGGCAATGTCATGCTTCCCGGGCCCTGCCTCGGCAACAGCGTGAGCGAGGGGGGAAACCGGTTGCCTAGGAAACCCTCTCGTCCTGGTAATTACGACTGTAACTGACTGCACACCCCACCTATAACAGAAATGAATAATAATTTGCACGCGCTGACTGGCAGCTCCCGGCCGGGGCCGCTGCTCGCCGCTGCCCCCTACTGGCGCGCACGAGGGCTGCACGGCCCGAGGGGCTGGCAGGGCCCAAATCACCCGCGGACGGCACCGCCTCCCCCTCCCCCCTCCCTCCTCCCCCCTCCCTCCTCCCCGGCTTCTGAATCCACCTCCAGCCAATCGCTGCCCGATCAATAGAGGGAAATGAAAAGTGCTCTGTGTCCGCGTCCACGGCGAGGGCTGGACAGCCTGATGGCCGTCGGTCATCGCAATTAAAAGCCATTTCATACTGGGACGCGAGCCGGACCCAGACAAGGTGCTCGATACGGCGAACAGCAGCCGAAGGACCTCGCGTGTGCGCGGTGGTGACCGCCCCCACGTGCGGCCCCCGAGTCGCTGCGCGGCACAGAATTGGATGTGAGTGAATTTATTTTATACACAAAATCCTATCCGGTCGTTCTGATCAACTGAACTGCGCAGTTAACGAAGACGGTCCGTCTGCCTTCGGCCCTCCAGTCCGCAGGGCGGAGTTCGAGTCCCTGCGCCGCCGGAAGGCCGGCCCGTTGGGAAACGAGACCGTGCGCAGCGGTTTACGGGATTTGATTTAAGAGACACAGCAGGAGTTGGCAACACCCACGTACCACGGGGTTAATGTGGGTGAGCATGCAGCTGTTTGTAGCACAGAAACACCGCACGCCAGACACACACGTCTGACTCCCCCACGCCCCGCGCCTCTCCGCGGGCGCCGGGCCTCGGCTGAAAGGAGCAGCGGCCAGGGAGAGGCCCCTGCCGCCGCCCCCGCCGGGGCGCAGCGCGCCGCTTCCGGTCTGCAGGGCCCGACACCGCCGCGTGGGCGGCGAGCCCAGCGCAGGGGACCGGAGGCCGCGGCTGCTCGGCCGGCACCCCGCTCCGAGAGGACAAGTGTCTCCACGGAAGGGGGGGGGGCCTGGTCCACAGCTCCACGCGCTCGGGCCCAACTCCTGGTTCTGTCCAGAGCAGACATTGTGAACTGGCCGTTCTCGAGCTCAGAAGGAAGGACAAGGCCCCAAAGGTCGCTGAGGCTATTGACGCCGCCCAGATGGGGGGTGTGAGGGCAGTCGTGGGGACACAGCCTGTCCAGGGCGGGGGCCCTCGGGTCCTTCAGTCGCTGAGACCCGGGGCATCGGGAACGTCCCCAGTTACGTCCGGTCAGCGTGGAAGCTCCCGCCCAGCCCTACTCAGTTGATTACCTTGTAACGCAAGTGATTTCCCAAAACGGTTCTGGAAATCAGCAGATCCGTGTTTTCCTGCCTCCCATCAATGCCAGGCAGCACCACTGACCGCGTCTCCCCCTGCTTTCCAGAAGTCGACACCTCCCAGGCACGTGCCCTGATGCTTCAGACGCCGCCTGGCTCCAAAACAGGCCAGGAGCGGCCCCTCGCCGCACTGCGTTCTGCACCTCGGCCCAGGGCCCGGGACGGGAGCCGAGCAGTCGCACTGGCGACGGCAGAGAAGCCGGCCAACAGCATCAGGGAGTGGTCCGGAGGATCGTCGTGACGGGACAAGAAAGGCACCCACCTCTGTGAGCCCCTCCCCCAAACTCGAAAGCCCAGGCCACCCCAAGGCAGCGCCGGGCAAACCCGAACCGAGAAGCACCCCGTCCAGTCCCCGGGCTGGTCTGTGGCCACACCCTCGGGGTCAGGGGACAGGAAACCGGGCAGGCGTCACGGGGAGTGACGGGGAGAAGGCGCAGGCTCGGGAGGCAGGAAGCAGGGAGGGCCGCTCCCCTGGTCGCCCCTTTACCCAGCTGTGACCCTCAGAACCCCAAGGACGCCGCCTCCTGGCCACCCAGGGAGAACAGTGGCCTTACAGGGGCAAAACCCAGCAGGCTCCGCCCTGCCCCGGTGACCAGGTGACCGACGGAGTGGCAGGGTCCGCAGGAGGACGCCAGGGTCGTCCCCGGCACGAGCAGTGCTGCTCCGGCCACAAAACCTCACTCCGACGTTGCCGGCGCTCAGGCCGCCCCCAGGTGGGGCGCGGTGTGCAGACCACCCGGCCCGGGCTCCCACCACGCCCGTCCTGGGAGCCGATGGGCACGAGGAGCGGTCTGGGGCGGGTGGGGACCGAGGAGCAGCAGCACACACAGGTGGGGGCAGCCGGGGAGGGTCCTGTCCCCGGGGCGAGGGGCCCCGGGGGTGGGGGGGGGCACGTGGGTGAAGTTCAGAGAAGGCGTGTGGCCTGGCCGAGTGAGGAGCCCGCCCACGGGGGTCGCGATGAGAGGGACTCCGTCGGCCGCGGGAGGCGGCAGAGTGTGTGGGACCTCAGGGCTGACTGTGCGCCTCCCCTGTGGGTCTGAAACGGGTTCGGACAAAGGCTCTCCACCTGCTGGTCCGCTCCGGCGATGGGAACGGGGGCCCTGCGCGCCACCGCGGGGCTGCGGCTGCAGGCGGCAGGTGGTCTCCGGCAACGCGTCTCGGGGACGTCCACCGGCCCACGAGAAGCAGCGACCTGCGCGCACGGCAGGCTCCGGACGCAGCTCGGGGACACGGAGCGTGACCTGGTGACCCCGCACGTCCGTGACGCCCGCCACGGCCGCCGCTCCGGCGCAGTGACCGGCTCCCAGGGGAGCTGGGGTTTTGTGGGGCTGGGCTGAGAGAAAACCAGTCTTAGACCAGAAACGCACGCACCGCTGACAAACGTGGGCTGAAGAACACATCCCCGCCTCTTTAGGGGCGACCTTTCCAGATCAGTCCTCGGTTCTGACTTGTCCACGGACTTCGGGGGTTCAGGCTCCCCGCCGCCCCGACTATGAAAACACATCTTCACGAAACTCCACGGTCGTGCTGTTCTAGCTGCAGAGAGCTCCCACTTTTCTGGGACACGACTCCACTCGGCTGAAGCACCGACTCGTTAGCGAAGCTATAAATAGCCCTCGACGGTGTGGCCGTGCACAGGGGCGGACGGCCGTGCACAGGGGCGGACCGCACTGCCGGCCCGTCTCAGCGCCAGCACGGGACACTTCTCGGGAGCCCGGGTTCGGTGCGTGTCAGGCCGCGAGTGACACGGCATGTGAGGTTCTGTGTCAGAACACGTTTCCGTGCGTTGAGGAGTTCGGCTGGAAGTAAGTATGTTATCTCAGCTACTTACAAACAGGGAGCCTCGGGGGACGGCAGTGTCGGGCACCAGGACACAGAATTCCCCGCTTCAAGGACGTTTCTCTGAGGGCGAGGGCGGCCTCTGTCTCCCCCAGGGCAGAAGGCCGCCGACACCGCGCCCGCGGGGAGGACGTGCCCGCGGGACCGCGAGGACACGCGCACTGCGTGCAGCGAACACGCGAACCACGGGCATTTCCTTACTCAACTCTGAGTCATCAAGTTCACATTTTCGAGAGCAAGTTTCATAAAATTTTTACTCAAAAAAAACGTTTTACAAAATACCGTTCTCCCGACCACAGAAACTCCCCGACGGGCCCCGCGTGGCTCCCGCCCCCAAGATGACGCAGCGACAGACGAGGGGGCAGCGTCCTCGCACAGCCACCGAGCTGCAGGACCTGCGAGTAGACTCCTTTAAAGTGCCTTTAAGATGCTAAAGCAAGTAATGGAATTCTTGAATCTGTGTAAATGTTAAAAGTTTCCTTACAACGGCCCACAGGGTACACGCAGCGTCGCAGCTGGTGCGGAACCGCCGCGTTCCGTCCGGAACTCGGCAACGGTGCAGACGGACGGCGCTCTCCGCAAACCGCTCGGAGAGGGCGCCGCCCCGCAGGCCGGCAGGCACAGGCGTGCGGGCCGCATGCGGAGCTGAGGGGCCGAGCGCTCGCTGGGACTCAGGGCGCCACTGGCAGGGACGGGGGCTGCTTCCGAGTCGGGCCCGACCGCCGCCCCACGCAGGGAGCGCGTCCGCGGTGCGCGGGGCACACGGACGCCGGGCTGGGCTTCGGCCCCCCTTTCCCGGGCGGGGCCTAGTTCTTCTGCTGCAGCCTGGCAGCTTTGAACTTGGAAACCCTCTTCGTGACTTCTTCTGAGGCCTCCGGCAGAAGTTCCTTCCGCTCGGGAATGGGGGGCAGCAGCGGGTGCGCCCCGGCCGGGCGAGGGGCTGCGCAGGGCGACAGCACGTCCTTTTCTACCACGGTTCCAGAGAAGGCCTGCAAGACAAGGTCAGAGCGCTGGGACGACCAGGAGCGAGGCGCCCACAAACTCCTCCGCCCTGCGCTGCCAGCTGCATGTCTACTTTCACTGCAAGCACATGCAGCCCCGGCTGGTGGGGCTCCGTGCACTGAGCGCCGGCCTGCGAACCCAGGGTCGCCAGTTCAGTTCCCGGTCAGGGCACAGGCCTGGGGAGCAGGCCAGGTCTCCAGGCGGGGGCGCACGAGAGGCAACCACACATCATGTTTCTCTCTCCTCTCTCTCTCTCCCTCCCTTCCCCCTCTCTAAAAAGATAAACAAAAGTCTTTTTTTAAAAAGTAAATTCATAAGATTTTTGGGTAAAAAGACAGACCATCAAAATACAAATTATTCAGAGAAATCAAATACCACTAAAATATCTTAATCACACCACCAAGTGTGAGTCCGTGTTTCAGTGCTCATACAAAAAAGCAAATGGTGAAACACCCCTCGTTTACCAAAATCGGGTCGACAGAGGTCCTCGACTTTCACACCCCGCATCTGTGCCCAGCCCGCACCGTGAACTACAAGGCATCACAGTTATCACGCAGCCCGGGGTTGGATGGCAGCTGGGGAGGGCGAGGCGCCGGGTGGGGGGCCATGTGCCCGCAGCCCGCCAACGGCCCAGCAGCAGGGCCGCCTCCCAGGCGGTGCCGTCCAGGCCACCGGGCGTGTCACCGCATTCGGCGATGCCGGCCCTGGCCTCTGTGCTTGAGGGCACACAGCGGGCTGGACGGTGCGCCCCGCACGGTTGGCTTAGGAGTCGTCATCAGCGCAGGCCCCGGGTCCCCCAGGTCCCGTGACATCTGAGAGGACAGATGTGTGCACAGTGACGCCCCAGAGACATGGGGCTGCCGCCCAGGCCTGCAGCCTCGCGAGACCACGAGGGAAGTGAAGTGAAGTGACCGAGAGGCGAGTGCAGACAGTGCCCGGGAGAGAAGCCGCTGCACCTCTGACACCAGGGGAGGGAGGGAGGGAGGGAGGCCGGGTGAAGGCGTCTTCTTTCTAATTCTGTCGGCCAGTGTCACCCAGCAAAGGCAACGAAAACTTTCTTTTTTTAAAAAAGGAAACACCCTGCAAACGCCAACCATCGCCTGGGAAACAGGGACCCTGGACGACTCGAGCCCTCCGAGGTGCGGGCCCCCAGCCCCCGCCCGTGGGCCCTGACCAGGCACACGCACCTGCACCTCGGGCGGCCCCGCCAGGGGGGGCGCCGCGCCCCGCGGCCGGCCCTCCTGCCCCTCCTCCGGGATGCTCTCGCCGGCGTCGCTGCACGCCGCCTCCTCCCAGCTGAGGCCCCGCAGCAGCCCGCGGCGCTCCTCCGGGTCGGCGGCGCTGCTCTCGCTGGTGTCGCTGCAGACGCTGTTCTCCCGGCTGCGCGACTTCAGGATGGACTTCCGGGGCACGTACTCCCCGTTCACGACGTCCACGAAGACCCTGCGGGGGCACAGCGCGCGCTCACGCGAGGGGCCAGACTGGGAGTCGCGTGTGCGCCCCGCGGACGACCTCTTCCGAGACGCGGTCCGAACCGGTTTGCTCAGACTTGTGTCTGCGGATTTCGGCGTGCTCCTGCGGCCTCGGACGGCCCGCCGCGGGCGCCGCTGGGAACCGCAGCGGGGCGCAGTGAGCCCAGCGCCCCGCTCGCAGACGCGCCGCGGGTGACCGGCGCGGGATCCGCCCAAAGCCCGCCCCCGAGCCGGACCCGCTCAGGAGACAGCTCGCACTTCGCGGTCTCCCGGACGCCAGTCGTGAGAGCAGCCCCCGCGAACGCACCGCCAGGGCCGGCGTGCCCCCCGCCCCCCGCGGACCCCCGGCGCCTCTGCCCGACCGACCCGGAAGGACGCAAGCGCAGGGGTGCGCGGGCCCCGCCCTCACCTGTAGATGTCCGCCGGGGTCCTGATGGTGGGCAGCTCGGGGGCGGCGTGGCCGCCGCCACTGCTGCTCTTCCGCTTCCGCTTGGCTTCCTCCTTCTTCTCACTGAACTTTAAAGTGGTGTTCTTTCCAGTATTGATCCGGACCTGGAAGTGTCCCGGCGAAGAGTTACGATCCTCCGAGAAACGCAGCCCGGGCCAGAACCAAGCCCACTGCCCCCCCGACTCGGGGCACGACAGGGGGAGCGCCCGCATCTCCGGTGGCGGGGGGGGGGCGAGGTGCGGGGCCCCAGGGCCCCCTCCCCGCACCTCCGCAGACGGGACCGCCCCCGGCGGACCGTCCATCTGCCGTCACGGCCGGCTCCGGCTCCGGGGACACCGCTTCCCCCCAGAGAGCAGCGCACAGCGACCTGGGAGCAGTCGGGCTGCCCGGGGCGGGTTCCGGCTGCGCCCACCGCTAGGACGCGGGCTCCTGGCCCACATCGCGCATTGCGAACAAATAGCACAAACTAAGAATATAAACTTTAAGTCATAAAAGCAGTATTACATCGTACTTACGATTCACAATTTTTAAATGCCTCTGATTCTGAGAGACGGACCTGACACCTGAGCCCAGCCCCCGTCCCGTCCGTGCCGGGGCGCCCCGCCCCAGTCCTGCAGACACGTCTCGCCTGGACTCCCGGAAGGGGGGAGATGCGCAGCCCGGGGAATCAAGAAACAAACTTTCCCCCGACTAAATCAGTCACTTTTCCCACAGAACTCACAAGAGGCTCCCTTTCGTCTGAAGAATTAGACTATTCTAAAAACCAATCACCTCCCTTCACGCGAGAGCAGGGACAACTTAGGGGCCCTGAGAAATGCCCGGGGTGGAGAGGCAGCGCCCCAGGGCTGCCCGCGGGGGAGGAGCGCTGGGGGAGGCGGAGGGTGCTCTGCCAGACCTGGCCGGCTCCGGGTTCAAGGGCAGCCGTCCTCCCCACCCCCCAACCCCCGTCCCCTGAGCCCGCCAGTGCTGAGCGCCCTGCAGAAAGTCCCAGAGGGACAAGTGTCGCGGAGGAGCAGCTCAGGCCCCGCCCTGGAAGACTCCTCCACTCCCGGGCGCCCGAAGGTGTTTGTATTGACTGTCAGAAAAGAAGCTGTTTTCACTTCCTCCTAAATCCCCCTCCCTATTCAGGGTGCTCCTGGCGGGCTCTGCCCACGCAGAAACAGCAGCCTGCAGTGATTAGAGCTTAACTGCTGCAGTCACTGTCCAGCACCCCGAACACACCCGGACGCCTGCAACAGTCACCCTGGAGTTCCTGAGAAAACTCTGGGAACGGAGCACAGGCGGAGTCGAAACAGTCGCCACTGAAATCCGATCCCCTGGCTCTACCTGGAGTGGCCCAGGGGGCTGAGAGCCAGCCAGCCTGTGAAGCAAAGGGTCACGGGTTCGATTCCCCATCAGGGCGCGTGCCTGGGCTGTGGGCCAGGTCCCCAGTAGGGGGTGCCCAAGAGGCAACCACACAACGATGTTTCTCTCCCTCTTTTTTCCCCTCCCTTCCTCTCTCTCTAAATATATAAAATGTTTTTTTTAAAAAAGTAGGAAAAAAAGAAAAGAAATCTGAAACCCTTCCAAACCCCACACACCTCCAACCCCAGTGTAGCCGCCGAGAACAAGGGCCCAACACCAGTTAACTTTTCAGACTATTTCTCCCCTTTTTCTTTTTAAGTAAACTGGTCAGAAAAAGAGGGAAAGATGGTTTCCTGTTGCCATGTTAACCACTGTTAATGCTGTTCTTTCAGAAAACATCAGAGACGTTGTGCAAAGTCCCAACTACATGCCAGGTTAGTAAAGTGAAGAGCACACAAACCCTCTTCGGCTCCACAGTGTGAGAAAAATATATCGTTGGTACGGAACTGTGTCCGGCCCCTACAGCGTGGTGGGCAGGTTCACTTTCCTCGCTATCATCCTCATCCTCATCCTCGTCCTCATCCTCGTCACTGTGGTAAGAGTGCGACCCATTCACTGAGCAGTGGGCGTGACCGTTCACTCGCCCGCTGAGCGGTCCGGGGTCTGCGGCGCCCCCGTCACAGCGGCCGGGAGCCGCGGCTCTGCTCTGCTCCTCCGCCTCCTCCTCCTCGGAAGACGTGGCGTCCTGTCCATTGGCAATCACGGTGTCAGGCTTGCTGGGGAAGGGAAAGGGAAAAGAGGAAAGTCAAATGCAGAATCTCACGCTTTCTAATTTGCAGCTCATTTACTTGGGGAAAAACTAGGCCTTTGAACAGTGAAACTAGAATTCTAGGTGAGCAGAAGTTTTCCGACGTGGACAGAGAAGGCCCCGTCCCTACGCTGACTGCGTACGTCGTGGTCACGTGGGGCGAGCAGAGCCCGAGCAGGTGAGGTCGTCACCTTCCCGGGGGGACCGGGCCCACCAGACGCCAGCGCGGCACACACCACGACCAGAAACGTGGGGCAGAGCCACAGGACAGTACCATCTCCTCACTTTGTTTCCACACTCGGAACACTGGACGCGCACGCACGGCTGCAACTGTTCCAAGAACGTGAACCGGCGCACACGCACACAGCGGGCTGGTGAAGAGGCCCGTTGGGGTTCTCCGTGCACCGGCTCCAGCAGCGCGTAGTCGTCTTTCAGCTTCGTCGGAAACAATTTCGTTAGATTTTATTGTGACCGCTGTCGTGTCAGTGTGCGTTAAAAAAAACTTATCAGATTGGTGAATTTTTGTGTAGCCACTTTATTATTGAAGATGGAAGAAAACACGCAACATTTTGGGCATACTATGCTTTGTTACTTCAAGAAAGGTAGAGATGCAACTGGAACACAAGAAAAGATGTGTGCAGTGTGTGGAGAAGGCGCAGGGACCGATCGAACGTGTCAGAAGTGGTTTGTGAAGTTTCGTGCCGGAGATGTCTCTCTGGACAGCGCTCCACAGCCGGGTGGACCAGTTCAAGTTGATAGCGATCAAATCGAGACGTTAACTGAGAACAATCAACGTTACAGCAAGAGGGAGATGGCCGGCATGCCAGAATATCCCAACCAATCAAGTGACTGTGAGCATGAAAAATGCGTCTTTTATTTTATGGGAAAAACTGCACAGACTTTTTGGCCCACGCAGTGATTGGCTCACGTCCACACAGACACGCGGATCTCTCACACTTCACTCTACAGAGGACCTGAGCACCTTACAAAACAAGAAAACCAAAAATGCAACAGAACCGAAATACCATCATGCAAAAAAAGCGCGCATGACGGAGGAAATCACAAGCCACGAACCCGACTCTGAGAAGTAACCAGCGCCAGCCAGTCCACGGGACCCAGGACGGCGCACGCCACGGGGCAGGAAGCACGCACGCCTGCGCCGCGCAGAAGACACGGAGGGCTGCACGGGCTGAGTCCCTGAAGCCCACAGGCGCAGCCCACGGGGCACGGGGCTCCCCGCGTGAGCGCAGGCGCACACAGCCCGCAGCAGCCCCGCAAGGGCCCTCAGGCGTGCAGGGCGCACAGGCAGGCACGGCCCGAGGAGGCACCCTGGAGCGCTCACCCCCGTCCCTGGGCGGCAGGACGATGCGCGCCTGACAGCGCTGCGCTTCTCGCCCCCCCCCCCACCCCTGCAGGACACTTGCACCGCCCTGCTGCTGCCCAGGAAGCACCTCCCGGGGGGACGGGGGGACGGGGGGACGGGGGGACACGTCAGCGCCAGTTACCTGTCCAGCTC